TTTCCAATTATGGAGATTTTTTTTCTGTTTTAGATTCACTAAGCCTATCTGATCATATAACATACCTTTGTTTGTTTCCTGATACAAATCAGAAGGAAACCTGTCAACTGGTCAAGATGTATCACATAAGCATGTCTAAAGGTTTTCAAGTTTTCAACAAAATGTCATAAATTATTTATTTCTGTAATTGGTGGAACCAAAAGAAATTATTTCACATGATCTCAGCCAAGGCAGGTTGCTAATCAGAAAAATGTTTGTCATGTAACATTTCATGGGCTTTGATAGTTTCAGTGCAAATGAAGTAGTAGTAGCTTTTCAGAAAGATAGAGGTTGCATAATCATCATCTCTGCTAATGATCTGAATGATCTTCCCACCGTTACCTCTGGTGGACAGGATCTTCAAGTTGTTCAAAAAAATATGTCTGACTACAGATACCGTAAATAAGTTTGTGGTACCACAAAAGAGCTTCAGCTGTCCAGAAAAATTCCATTTAACCCAACCATGTACATGTTCGTAACATATATTTCTTCTTTATATTTAATTTATGAAAGGAAAACATACATATCTCAAGGGATACAAGATAAAATATTCAGCTCCTTTAATTTGTTCACACTGGGATTTCTTCTCATAATTGTCCTGTGAATTTATTTCAAGATTTCTATACCTTCCTTTCTTGCGTAAAAGGGAAGGCTTGATGTGATTTCTTTTGGAACAGAACAACTTGTTTTCTTCATCTCTCAACACGCAGAATGTGGGAATACAGAAGATCCTAGGTTTGTCAGACAAATAGAAGGCAGATTAAAAAGGTAATTGTAAGCTGACTGGAAGATTCCCTGGATCCTCTTTCTGGGTAAAGTTGGAATCATTTCATCTAATACTAAATTTGGGGAATTAAATATCTATGGCTGGTTCACACAACTAACTAACCCCTGGTTTAATTAACCATAGTTTCCTGAATTATTCCAATTGGCTGGTTCAATGAACCATAAACTAAGCACATTCTCTAGATTTATGCAATATACTGAACTACAAACTAGTCTTCTACAGCCCGGTATGTTGTACAAATCCAGCTGCTTATCCCCCTTCCACACATCTGATTTGCACTAGTCTGGGGTCAGCAGCTCATTCCTGTATCCCCGGGACTCCATCATCCTTCATCAATGAAACTGATAGCTTTCGGGCTCAACTCCAGGGGAGGAGAAATGGTAGAAACACAATTCTCAAGATGAATCTCTGGGCTTAGAGGTAGTCAGGTTCCCCCTGGTGGGAATTCCTGCCTTGCCTCACTTGTAGTTCTCCCTGCTCACCCCACAACTGGGAGGTTACTATTGCATGCTGGCTGATAGCCCTGCATCAGGCTTCTTAAAGGGAGCAGAGAGAAGCTTTTTTCCTGATGTGAGGTGGGGATGTGTATGGGGCTCTTGCTAGATGCAGATGGTCACGCTGGCCAGTTGGAGGCAGCCCTGGTCAACCGATGTGGAAAACCTATTGCCTTGTGAAGATGCTTCTGAGGTTTTGGAGATTTTTAAAGAACCAACTGGCTTATACCAGGCTGATGGAAATGGAGCCTATATAGAAAAAAGGGAAGGGTCGCAGGCAGACCATCTGAGCTGTCCCATAAGTCTGAGGCCATTGAAGACATAGAAGGTAGTACTGAGGCACAGGATGGTAGCTGAGAACCAAATGAATAAGGAAAATAGAGAATTGGCTAGGGAGGAATGGCCTGTTCAGATAGTGATTATAGTAAATATTTCAGAAGGGAGGTTTCTGGAATAAAAGAGGGCTGCATGCTGTGAGGTTTAAAAAAAACACCTCCATTTGTGTTAAGAATGTGAAGCAAAGAAGAGAGGCTTTTCCTGTCTCCCAAATAGCATCTCTTTTCCAGCTGTTATACTGCTATAAAATCCTTTGATTAAAGCTGGCAACTTCCTAATCCTTACCATAAAAGGGACAAGAGGAGGCAAAACTGTTTTTGTACCTTCCCAGATGGTAAAGCTCCCTTATCCCTTGATCTGAAATCACAAGACTGTTGATCAGAAGCGATTACATCTTCCCGATAGAAGCCTTTGCTTTGAGAGCTGGTCTTATGCTGCAATATAGTTGTGCAAGTCTCATTTCTGAGATCTAGAGATTGGTTCCACATTGGGGAAAGTCATAATGTAATTTATTTGATTTGGGCTTGTATGGATTAGCAGAGTGTGTGACTCAACCACCTCAGGCATATTCAACAAAGTATGATCAAATGAAATCATGGCTTGGTCAAGCTGTTAATTCAGAGACTGTGTCAAAAATTTCTTTTCCCTGTGTATGATAGTAAATAAATTACTAGTATTTCATGGCACTTGCCATGCTCTGTCAAGTATATAAAACACTCATAATAATTTTCATACCATGTGTTCTATTATGCCTGGTGGGAATTTTTGTATTTGATAGTGAATCAGTCATTTCAGTTTTCATATATGAATCTGGATAGCAATTCTGAACTTGCTGCTTTGTGCTAGGTGCATTACATGTAGATATTAATTCAGGACAGAATATAACTGTATGTTGCAGTTCAGCGACTCATTTGAAAAAAGCTGATTTAAGCCTCTGATGGAAACATACACTAGGAGTTTCATAAATTAAACAAAAAGTCAGAATATAATCCACTCATCTCTTCAAAAAGAAGCTAATAATTTTAGGGGAGTACAGAGATGGATATTAGAAGCAGTAAAATAAAGGATCTCCAAAATTTGTAGATACAAGTAATTTTATGAAACATTTGTTATTCATGCAAGTTTTATAATAAAAACAAGTTTTTGGAGTCACATTGAATAGAGTGGTATAAAATGACGTTAATAAATAACATTATTTTTTAAGAAAAGATCAAAGAGATCACATTTTAAATAGACCAGATGAAAGATAAAATTACTTATTTCAATGTCTGAGTAGAAGAAAGCTGATAATGAAAAATATAGAGTTGGATTTTTGATATTGAACTGGAAAGGCAGAATAGCAAGTACAGGAGAAAACTCCAAACTCTTTTTTGCTTCTTACTTTTCCCAGTTATGTTTTTCAGAAAACTTTAAAGCAATTAACTCTTTTAGAGAGTACAGTGCTAAATACATTGTACATGAATATGGAGCATAAAATGTCTCAATATTTTTTTTAAAGCAAGATCATGTTTGGCCTAGTGTAAAGGAGCAATACCTTGGCTCCATCTAAATAAGTTAAATGAAAAATTGCCTTTCAAATGTTGAGAAAGAATAAGCAGTCCTAATAAGAATGAATCACATAAATCATTTACTTCATAAAATCTAAGAGATGTATCAGTGAAGAACTAAATAGTGATAGTTGCATCCAGAGAGGACATTTGGAAACAGGCTGGATTCACACATTACATGGAGATACAATATGGTTTATTTGGTTTTACATTGGCATTTTGCATGAATTAAACTATTGTGGCTTGTAAAACATGGTTTATAGCTTGATATCATATGTGAATACATCCAGTTGTGTCTTATTATGCAAACTATGGTTAAACAAACCATAACTTAGTGTATATGTGAACCAGGATTATTAGTTATAAATGAGATATAGCATTACCAGAAATCTGAACTACTTTATGAAATTTAACATGACACAAATTGTATCAAACTTTTTTTTCTTTTGATTTAAAAATTAGTCTTTCAAGGATACATATTTAGAAAAAGTTGACTTTAAAAGCTGACTTTAAAAGTTGACTCTTCTATTGGTACAAGTGTCATTGTTACATATCTGAAGAAAAATGAGAATATATATCTTTGTTTATGAATTGGTGTACTCATTGACTGGATTCATATATTGCAGTGAGCCATTGTGTAGTTTGTTTGGTTTTTGGCATAGCATGTTGGGTGATTCCAGCCGTTATAGTTTATTAAACCATGGTTTATTGCTTGATGTGACAGGTGAACCTAGCCAATTCTTATTCAGTAAACTATGATTAAAGAAAACATGGCTTAGTGAAATAGGTGAGCCAAGTTCTTGTTATTTGAAAAAAAAAATTGTTAATAATGCTTGGAACATTTCACATGGGAACTATACTTATAGAAATAAATGTTGGAAATAGCAAAGCTATAAAAGCCTCTGTAGGTGAACTGCACATATAGTGGAATGGTTGCCAAGTTATGAAATTCTGAGGAGATACAATTAATACTGGACTGAAATTATAGGTTACTTCAAATGTTCGCCTGGTGCTATATAGTGACTTTATGGAAATGCCACAACAAATACAGCTGGTGTTCTGAGAAAGGGGAGATCTGATGCATATTTGTTAATTATTAAAAGATAAAATTAAAAGCATAATAGACAAAGGGAGATACTAACAAATGGTCAGGAAAGAACTGCCAAGATGCAGTTGCCAATCTACTCTGGTAAACTATTATTTCTAAATTCAAATGTGGGGATAGGCAACATCATTCAAATGAAATTAAACTATCATCCTAACATAGGACGATCCTAATTATAACCCTAACCCGGGGAAGGTATATTAAGAGTAATTATTTCTAAAATAGTAAAGCTTCCCTCAACCAACCTCCACCCCTGATGTATTCATGCCCGTAGCCATGAGGTTTCCTTCCAATGATACAGAAGTGATTTATCATTGCCTTCCTTCAGGATTTTTTAAAAATTTCCTTGCCTAGCCTGCAACTTTGATATTTCTAATGACCTGCAATCCAAACATTAACTAGATCTGGTCCTGCTTAGCTTTTCAAGATCAGTCAGGAGCCCAGCCATTTTGCCACCTGATTAAATATTCCTCCAACAGCATTGTAGGACAGTAATTCGATGTATGCTTATCTGAGAGTAATCCCCACTGTATTTAATTGGGTTTACTCTGGACTGTCTGCTTCAGATTACAGCTTGGCTTCCATTCCCAGAATCTAACTGATACCCAATGTTGAAACATCTGTACTGGAATTATTTGCTCAGGGCATTCTGGGACGTACTGCTTTTCTTTTATCAGAAAGGAGAGAGCGAGATGATCTTACAAAACTACAGCGCAGTGACTGAATTTGTGTTCCTGGCTTTCCCCAACAGTAGGCTGCTGCAAGGTTTAGTCTTCATGATCATGCTTCTGATGTACCTGGCCAACGTTTTAGGAAATCTGCTCATCATGGTCGCCATCTGGAAAGAGCCTCACTTGCACATCCCCATGTACTACTTCCTGTGCTCACTTTCCACTGTTGAGCTATGTTTTACAACATCTGTGGTACCCCAGATGCTAGTGAATGTTTTACAAAGGAAGAAGAGTATCAGCGTTGCTGGGTGTGGTTTCCAGATGTTTCTCTTCATAGCCCTGGGCAGCACGGACAGCTTCCTTTTGGTGGCCATGGCTTATGATCGCTATGTTGCCATCTGCCACCCTCTGCATTATGCTCATATTATGACCCAGCACAGATGTGCTTGCCTAGTGGCGATTTCACTGGTTCTTGGGGGGCTGTTGTCCATGGAAATTGCTGCTGTGGTTTTTCACCTTCCTTTTAATGGCTCCAACCAGATTGAACATTATTTCTGTGATGTGAATCAACTGTTGAAGCTGGCAAATACCAACACTTACTTTGAGGAGATTGCTCAGTTTGTAGGTAGCATTCTGATCCTCTCGGTCCCTTTCCTGCTAATTGTTATTTCATACATCTGTATCATCAGGGCAATCTTACAGATTCCCTCAACAAAGGGACGGCTCCAAACTTTCAACACTTGCTCCTCCCACCTCATAGTGGTATTGTTACAATATGGCTGTGGTTCTTTGGTGTACCTTCACCCCAAATCTAGGCAATTTGATAAGACAGATCACTTGCTTTCACTGGTGTATACCTTTGGCACCCCTCTTCTGAACCCTGTTATATATAGTCTGAGAAACAAGGAGCTCAAAGATGCTGTAAGAAAACTCACTATGAACAGCAAACTGGAAATTAGAGACACCTAGTTGCCACCACCTCTTTCCAACCTCATCTTCAATGACTGCTCATATAAATAATGCATGATGTGATTAATATCATCCTCTGCAACTCATCACCCGTATTGGATTCTTGGAGGTGGAAAGATACCAAGATTGATGATATCATGACTTACGTTATTTGCATTAAATGTCTGTAGGAGAAATGTCTGCATAGAGTTCTTTAATAACTGAGATCAGACTCTTTCATTGAAGCACAATTTTTTTTTTTAGAATTTTTATCCTGCCTTTATTATTTTTTATAAATAACTCATGGCAGTGAACAAGCCCAGTACTCCTTCCTCCTCCTATTTTCCCTACACCAACAGTCCTGTAAAGTGAGTTGGGCAAGAGAGAGGGACTGGCCCAAAGTCACCCAGGTGGCTTTCGTGACTAAGACAGGACTAGAACTCACCATCTCCTGCTTTCTAGCCCAGAGCCTTACCGCTGGCAGCAGAGGCCAACCTAAAGTGGGCTGGGCATGCACCTCCTCTATATGGAATTATGCAGACTAGAATATACATGCGATAGTATAGAGCAGCAAAATATTGATGGGGTATAACAGCATATGCATGTTGATGAGGTAAGGACAGAGAGTGGCACCCTAAGGACAATGCTTCTTGAGTTAGACAAAGGCTGTCTCCCCTGAATAGGAGTTATTGGTGATGTTACTTCCTGTAGGTGTTCTCTCTCAGTGGTATTGCTTCCTAGTGATGGTCCTGTCTCTTAGTGTCCTAATCTACATTCTACTCTCTAAATGTTTCCATGGTCTTATTTTCCCTGGAAATTCAGGTTCTGAGGAGGGGGTGATTTACGTACCCTACCTAATACAATTTTCTTTCTGTTTCAGGTTGCAGGAAAGGGAGAATGAAGGGCCATAGTGGAGTAGCAGCCAGTTGAAATATCTAGATATAGCTCTGCAAAAGAGTACATGTATGAACAAAGCACTTCGTGTTGAATTGTTAAAGCAGCCGTGTCTTTTGCGACAATCTCCCAACAAAGCCAAATCGCTATGCATGCCACTAGCCATTTGCAGATAGCCAGGAACAGCTTTGGAAGCAACCATGTGAGCCTGAAAAAAAGATGCAGCTGCTTTAAATATTCAAAAAAAGGTGCTTGGTTCAAACTGCCATGCATTACTTTGCCCAGTTCTAATATTTAGTTTTCACACATTGCAAAGGCTTTGCACAGCTCTAATATATAGCTTAGTCTTAGGCTATTCTTGGGAATGGATTCCACAAAGACTACTTTACCTGAAGTAGCTTAGTTAATTGTTGGGTCCTCCTGTTGAAGACTAAATTTCCTCAGTGTCAAAGTAGGTGGACATCAAAATATATAAATAAATTTTTGAAGGAAAAATCCGGGGGTGCCATTCTATCTGTACTTAACCATTTCTGTTTTAGGGGCAAGCCAGAAGGATTTGAAAATCTAAGTCTTTTGCATGCAAATATTATTTAGGGATGATTATCTCCCATCTCTGACATGCCACAGGTAATTTTCAATTAAGTTGGTTTGAATGGAGTTACATCAGCTGTCCGGCACTTTAAGCATTTTCTAGGTCAGTGTTGTCCAAACTTGGC